CCCTGGGGCCAGGAGGACTGGTCCTGGAGAAGAGGAAGGTCAGACAAAGTTGGGGGGCGGGGTGGGGGGGTGCAGACAGCAGGCAGTAACGGCAGGATGCTCAGCCCTGCTTCATGAGCCTCATCCTGGACCTCCTGCCTCCGGAACCACAAGATGATAAACAGCGCTCGCCAAGCCTGGGGGCTTTTGTTATAGCAGCCATCAACAACACGTGTGCACACTCAGACACTAATTTATGCATGTTTACCTGTCTTATTTATTTTTTGTTTGGTTACTGAGAATCGAATCCAGGGTGCTCCACCACGGAGCCACACTCCCAGCYCCTTTCATTCTGCATTCTGAGACAGGGTCTTGCTAAGTTGCCCAGGCTGGCCCGGAACTTGCCATACTCCTGCCTCGGCCTCCCGAGTTACTGGGATGGCAGGTGTGAGCACCCGGCTCAGCGTAACTTTCATTTCAGGTKTTAGGAAGTATCACCGAGTTCTTTTTAATAACTCCCATTTCTCTCATCCTGTTGACCTTTTYCTTCAAAGTCTGTTTTAATTGTTATTTCAGGGTGCTTATCTGACAGTTCCATCATCGCTCTCATTTCAGGCCTATTTCTGCTGACATTCGGTTAYATTTCCCTGGGTTTTAGTCTGTGGGTGGCTTCTGTGGTGAACGCTGTTTTCTTGTTCTGTTAACCTGGGCCCAGGGTGGAGCTCCATTTAAAAGATGACATCAGTTAGCGGCTCACCTTGATCTTTTGTGGATTTTTTTTTTTAATAAGTTTGTTAGAGCAGATCTCCAGTGACTTTTGCTCTAGGGACAGTTTGGCTGCCCTCCAAGGACTGGCCACTGTGGGGTCTCTACTGACCACCTGAGTGGTCCCCACGGCGTCCCACAGTGGTTGCTGGGGGCTGGAGCTGCCCTGAGTTCCTGGGGACGGGCAGCTCCGTGGCTCATCCTGCCGAGCTGAGCTGCTTCCTCCACCCGTGGGGCCTACAAACGGGAGGCTCTGGGACTGGAGGGCTCTGGTCTCTGGGGTYCCCCCGTTTCTGGAATGCTGCTTAAGCAGTCCCGAGCACCGGACCCCGCACAACTCCCCCTGGCTGCTCTGGGCCAAGGTGGTGCCGTCCAGAGCTCCCTCGACTCTGGACGCTCCTCCCAAGGCCACGTGCCCACGTTGCTCAATTTCTGAAAACAGTTGATTCACACATTTTCTGTTTCTAGCTTCTGAGGCAGGWGGGTAAACCCAGGCTGTAACCCCAGCACAGCTGGAGCGAAAGGAACCAGTTCCTCTTCTGAGAACAACTTGGGCTGTCTCTGGGGTCCTGTGCTGCTCTGGGCAGTAGTGAGCACTCCTGCACACCCCCCTGGGCTCCCATGAATCTTCCTGGGATTTATAAACCTTCCCTACTTACCTCCAAATCACTGCCCAGTGGGCAGTACCCTGACAGCGTGCGGGGAGTCCCAGGCCACAGTCCACCTCAGGGGGGTCCCTGCTGTGCAGCTGGTCGGGGACGCTCCCCTCTGTGCTGTCCTGGCCCTCCTCCTGTGGCTTTCTCTTCCTCTGTCCACAGGGACCCCGTCCCCCTGGGCACAGGGCAGCTGGCTGTGCCCGCCCAACTCGGAGTCCAGGGGCCCCGAAGCCCAGAGAGTCTTCCTTGCTGCAGCGATCTGTGGCTCTCCCCTGTGCCAGGTCCTGTCCACAGCTCAGGAGTCCACACGTCTAGTAAGGAGGCAGGAGGAGCCTGCCCTGGGGCCCCTTCCAGCCCCTCCACCTGCGCCCAGAGCTGCCTCCTTGGGTGAGCCTGGGCTGGTGTGGAGCAGCTGCTTGGCTCTGGAACCTCCTCTCAGGTCCGCCTGGGCCTCCATCTGAGGAGGTGGTGTCTGGCACCTAGGGTCACGGCTGTGTCCTGACCTGGGTTGCGGGAGCATGGGTGTCCACCAAGGGGGAGTGTGCAGGCCCTGCAGCAGGCATGGCAGTGGGGCCTGAGCAGAGGAGAGCCCAGGGGGGCCAGGGACAGGAGCTCCTGAGAGGCCCCTGAGGGTCAGGGAGAGGGCGGCGTGTGGCTGGAGTCACAGCTGACTGCTGGGACTCCAGAGAGGAGAGCAGCAGAGTGGGGACAGGGCTGGTGGAGGGCTGCCCTGGTGCCAGGGGGGTTGGGGAATGTCCTGCAGGTGGGATCCTGGAACCCAGAGGTGGCAGGTGGTCAGGGGGCTGGTCCCTGGCTCCCAGTTCCTGCCAAGGCACAAGCAGGGAGAGGAGGACCAAGGGTCTCCGAAAAGGTGAGCTTGAGACGCAGCTGAGATGTTGGAGATGGCAGACGCCGCGCTGACCTGGAGCTTGGGCTCCCCAGCTGGGAACTGGCTTGCGTCACTGCGTTCCGCTCTGAGGAACAGGCTGGGTTTCCAGCAGTCGCCTGACTGCTGGGAAGTCCCAGGCTGCCCCAGCTCTCAGAGCCTCCTGACCATGTGTCTTGCACCCCCGTCTCTCTGCAGAGTCAGCTTCTCTGTCCGCCTCTACCCTCTGCTGTGGGAGCTGGACAGTCCGCTATGGACATCCTGGAGCTGCCCTCGGCCCGCTGCCTGGTCTCTCAGCAGTTCCCACCTGGGTGGCTGGGCTCCTCCGCCAGGTCCACCCTGGTCCATCCTCCTCTACAGCCTTCAAGCTGGACCAGGTCTCTCCAGCACGGAGGGGGTTGGCGCTCTGGCCCCCAAGGGCACCCAGCACCCCTCTGAGGGTGGAGGACTAGCCGTGCCTCATCAGGGTGGACCCCAGTACCTCTGTCTGCTGAACCCCTGCCCTCCCACCTCGAAGGCACCCAGCTCCCCTCCAGAGCCCCAGGTGGCGTGAGCTGCACCAGAAGTTGACCTTTAGACTGCGCTCCTTCACTGGACGGAGGCCAGGAGGGAGGGGCCAGGCCTGTCTCTCGCCCCGCTGGGCAGGCGTCCTGGGCTGCACAGAGCCAGGGAGGTGGAGGCTGGCCTGGAGGCAGAGGAGGGGAGGGGCCTGGTGCCTGGGGACCCCATCCTCACACCCTCCAGGACCTCGTTCAGCCACGTGGGTTGCAGACACTTCCCGCCCACCCCCATTTCCCCGGATACTCCCTGCAGGAAGAAAGGGGGAGTCACAGGGGACTTCCAGGCAGGCCGCTGGAGACTCTGGTGGGGAAGCTCCATCTGGGGATGACACACCTGAGACAGCAGCACCCTGGAGACTTGGGGTGGGGAGTAGCTCGGCCTGGTCTTGGTGGGAGACCTGTGTCCTGCGTCTGTGACCACCTGCCTCACCCCAGCCCTGAGGGTGGGCTGAGGTGGGTGGCCAGCAGGCTCCTGTAGACACAAGAAGGAGGGGCCCAGGGAGTGGACTCCTGGGCCACCCACCAGGAGCATGAAACCCCAGAAGCCCCCCCGGGAGCCCCAAGCCCCGCCTCTCCCTGCTGATTCCTGTGGCCAGGGTGGAAGGGGGTGGGGAGTCCCCGCAGGTGACGGCCAGGGCTGTGGGCCACCTTGGGTAGGGAAGAGCTGGGTCCAGTCTGTTCCCCAGAGCCCTGAGCACGACGGTGATGCTGAAGGACTGAGCCAGGGACTGAGCTGGGGCGGGGCCTGCACTTCCACTTCTTGCCCTACCGGACTTTGCCCCCAAGTGGGGAGGGGCGGCCAGGCACAGCCTCCCACAGAGGCACAGGGTTCAAACAGCCATCAGAGAAGGCCTTGGGGAGAGGTGGCACGGCAGATGGCAGGGGTGCCGTGGCTCCTCCAGCCTGCCTGCTGGGAGCAGGTCCTGGCCCTCACCGTGCCTCAGTTTCCCCACTTACGGGGGAGATGGCGGATGAGATGGTCTCTGAGGGTGTACTTGCTGGGTGTGGTGGACTGAGGGCCTGGGTGGGGGCCCTGGGGGCTGGACCAGGTCTAGGGCCTTATCTCCCTCAGAGGAATCCTTTGGCCTCACTGAAGAGTGTCCCTGGGGGCCTGGGGATGTCCCTGCAGCCCAGAACCCACTGTGTACTCTCCAGGGCTCACTCGGGTCGGAAGAGCAGGGGGTGCCCCTTCCCCTTCACTGGAAACCCCCCCATGTGCTGTGGCAGAGCCCAGGCCCAGCTGTGAGGTGGGTGTGGGAGCTGGGGTGCCTCACCCTGCTCCTGTCTGCCCCCACTCAGCCTCGAGGCAGTTGGAGAGCTTTGCCCCTCGGTCTGCTCTGCTCCACCCACCCTGCCAGCCTGTCCCTCCCCAGGCCCGGCTTTCCTCACCCGCCATGTGCAGTTAGGTAGTGACCATGGGGACACTGGTGGCTGTGGCCCTGCCAGCCAGTGTGTCCTCTGCTAGGGGAAAGTCCTCCTTGGGACCCCAGTGCCCACAGCCAGTGGTGCTGGGAGCCTCCTAGTGCAGTGTCCCGGTCCCCAGGGCTCTGCTTCAACTCTCTATGCCTAGGCACTTATGGAATGTCCTCCTGCAGACTGGAGGCACAAAGGGGTATGTGGGAGATAGTGCCTCTGGGGACAGAAGGGCCTGGGGCTGGACCCTGGAGAAGGACCTTGGACCACTCAGGACCTGGAAGGGCTCCAGGTCAGCCCAGGGCCGAGGGTCCTGCAGACTGGCTCATTGAGTGGCCTCTGGTCTGGTTAGATGGAGAGCCACCTTTGACTGACCTCATGAGGTCAGCAGAGGGGTGCTAGGGCCCGTCAGGGAGGCATGAATGTGTTGGGGTGAGGGACCTTGAGGGGTTGCTGGGCTGCCTCTCATGAGCCCCTCGCTGGGAGGCTGGCAGTGGGGGAGGCAGCCCAGCGGGAGGAGGTCAGGGTCCGGTGGAGTTTCCACACGGGAGTCCTGAGCAAGGCTCTGTCGTGCTCCACACTGCCCAGTCTGCTTGCCTCCCAGGGGCCCGCTCCAGGATGGCAAGGGGGTCAGGCTGGACCCTGCTCCCAGGTGCTGATGGACAGTCACCCCTTCCAGCCCTGTGCTGGGAAGGAGCAGGCAGGAAGTGTGGGGAGGAGCCTGTGGGGGGAGTGGCCTGTTGGAGGGAGCACACTCACGGCACTAGGCTGGCAGCAGGAAATCCTCAAGCTCCGGTCACTGTCACCGCAAGTCGCTGGGAGCTACGGTGGGCCTGGAAAGGTAGGCGCTCTCTGGGGGGGCGCTTCCGGAGGACACCCGGAGGGGGCTGGGCACGGGGCAGGAGAGGACTTTCTGGGCACCCCTGAGCTGTTTCAGTGGCTCTGAGGCTCCTGTCCCATGGGCTGCCTGCCGGCTCCTTCCTAGCAGTGTCCACGCCCTCTGCTTTGCCTCCTGCAGGCCCACCCTGAGCTTAGTGGGACCTCAGCTTGGTCCTCTCCAGCTACCCTGGCCCCTCCAACCAGTCACTCCTGTGTCAGGGCACAGTGGGCAGAGGGCTCTGGCGGGGACTGGAGCTTGCACTCGACGGCGTCAGTTTCTCTTTCTCTTTCAGATGCTGGGGGTTATGAGGAAGGCCGCGAGTCCTGGCCCTGAGCCTAGTCCTGCGGGTGGGGCTCCGGGGCCTGAGGAGCCCTGACCAGGGACATGCAGCCTCTGCCAGGCTGGCGGCTTCCCTGGTGGAGCCAGGAGCTGACAGCCAATGCCCTGAAACTGGTGAGTCCCCGAGCTCTTCTCTGTCCCCATGCCTTCCAACCCCTTCTGCCCCAGAGTCACCCCCAGCTGTGTCCCCTCCCCTGGCCTCTGCACTTGGCCATGTCTGGGTCCCCAGCTCATATGGGCCTTTGTGTCCCAGATGTTCAGCTTCCTGGAGCTGACCCAGGTCTCTGGGCACTGCCCTTGTCCTGGGGTTGGGGGCAGGGGTGAGCCCCAAGGGGATGGGTACTTCCCGCGGCTCTTGGCAACCGAGTGCGCCGTGTCTTTGTGTGGGCCCTGGAGCAAGTGGAGCCGATCTCCCCCACAGCTCTTCTGCTGATAAGCACCACGTGTGTTCAGGGCAGATAGATAGAGTCCAAGGGCTGGGCGAGGACTGGCTGGGCAGATAGAGTCCAAGGCTGGGCGGGAACTGGCTTCCTGTCAGGGTGGCTTTCCTGCCTGCCCCGATGGGTAAGCCCAAGGTCCTAGCAGGGCCACCCTCTCCCGGGCCCTGACCAGCCTGTCTGCCCACCCCAGGGTGTGACCTCCCCACGGACAGCAGGTCTAGCCCAGCCCAGCAGGGAGGCTGGCAGGGTGTCTGTCCAGTGGGACTGGTGGCTCCTTAGGGAGGTATGGGGCTCTTGGGGTCCCACATTGTCAGGCAGGGGAATGGAGGCTGGAAGAGTGTTTAGTTCCACTCCACTTGAGGCTGTGAGGGTCTCTCAAGGTCATTCCCTGAGCCCTACCAGGACCACCCAGCCCTGGGGTGCTGTTTCCCCACTCCACAGATGCCGCAATCTGGCTGGGCACAAGATCACGAGCCACTCACAGCTTTGTAGATTCAAACAGCAATTCTTTATTCCCGAACTCACACCGGCCCTCTACAAACACGTTCTGGGGAAATCCAAGTTCTGCCGCACAATTCACGTCCCAAATACTTTCTGAATTCCACCAGAACTCAACGGGAACTCAGCAGGATACGCCCTATTCCCAACAGGAATAACCTTAAACCTGGAACTGCCCTAAACCCAGATTGTCTTAAACCGGGAACGCCCTAAACCCAAGGAGCGGGGAT